CAAGAGTCTCATAGACCTGCCTGTTCTGGAACTTGCTATGTAGACTAGGCTGGACTCAAACTCATAGCAATCCTCCTGCCTCTGCCTCCCAAGTGGGGGATTAAAGGCATGCACTAGCATGCCTTGCTTTGGAAGCATTTTAAATGGGAGGGACATGGCTGGTGAAGCACCAGGATTGAAGGCACATTCTATCATGCTTAGCCTTTTATGGGGTACTTGGCTTCCAAACTCTAGTGCTTATGCATGGAGTTTGTACAACAAACAGCACTTTACTGACAAAAACATTGCCATAGCCTTGCCTGGTCTCCTTTACAAGTCTTCCTGGTTATACAGTTACCAAATCTAAGACCCATAACAAAAGCAAGGTAGGCTGACTCAGTGCCCCAGCATGAGGAAGAAGGCCCAACAGCTAAACTGGTAGTAGCAGATTCATCCAGAAGGGAACTTGAACATGAGCAGTTTCTTTGAAGATGTGTAATACATTTTAACTATAGAAACTATAGAAAATAACATTTTTGAAGAAAAGTACTCCAAAAAGATTAAGAAAAAAATCCTGTCAAAGTGTGCACAGAAATATCTAGACTGGACCCTAGAGGGGTCCAAGTAAGAAGGCACTACTGTTCTCCTGTGGTAAAAAGCGTCCTTCCAGGGGGTAGCTCTGTCTGGTTACATGAAGACTTAGAGTGCATGAGAGGTTGGTTGTGAAACCAAGACCAAACTGGTCATCAAGGGCTCCTCTGTGATGACCATACCCAGAATTCTTGGACCAATGATGGGACCTACCTTGTTTTCTAGATGTCTGGCTCACACAGCTCTTAGCTAAGCCCCAAAGAAATATTTATTTCAAATAATAAAGTGATACCCTAAACATGCAGGTTTATGGACACAAGCTCAAATAATTCAGAAGGATATAAAGGAGAAAATGGAAACAATCACACCAATCCTTTCCCTTCCTGAGTAGTGATCAGAACATCCTGGCGAGTCATAAAATCTATATTTACCTACCTAGAGCTGCAGTTACTTTCCAATAACCAGCATGACGTAGTTATTGCATAACCTCCTCAATTTTGGGTTAAGAAAAATTGAAGTAAATATACTTGCATAAGTATCTGTATGTGATCATACCTGTGGCATAGACTCCTGGAAGGGGATTTGCTAGGTATGAGAGAAAGTGTATTTTAATTGGTATTCTCAGGTCACCCTCTGAAAACACTGTAAGAATGTATGTTCCCATTAGAAGTATATGGTATGACAGAATGTGGTTTTGAGCTCCTGGAGTATGGACATTATTATCTACCTTTATTATTTTTTTGTTTTGTTTTGTTTTTTGAGACAAGAGTTCTCTGTGTAAGAGCCCTAACTGGAACTCGCTCTGTGGACCAGGCTGGCCTCCAACGCACAGAGATCAGCCTGCTTCTGCTTCCCAAGTGCTGGGATTAAAGGCATGTGCTACCACCACCTGGCTCTACCTTTAATTTTTGCCAACCTCACGGGCAGTAGTTCTCCCTGCTGTTTAATGGGCATATTTCTGGCATCCTGTGAGGGTGAGCAGTGTGGTTTCTGTGTTGTTCTGTAGCTCTTCTTTTGAGCCCTGCCTATTTACATTACTCTGGAGAGATATTTTATGTTGGGGAGCTGCAGAAGAGTCTGCACCAGGGACAGAATCACAAGCTGCAGCCTTTCCTCCTCCTACCCAGTTAGTTCCCGCCCCATGCCCCGCCCATGCCCCACCCCATCCCTATCCCACATTACTTATGTGTTCCCCTCATAAGCAGAGGAACTGAATGAACACCTAGCAGGATACAGGAGCTGCTGAAGGCACTGGACCCAGGGCCTCACCCATGCTGTGCAAATCTCTCAGCTGAGCTACATCCTAGCCGGGCATGGTCCTGCGACTTACAATGGTATCCACAGAGTAAGACTCCCAAGGTCAAAATCTGAAGGAAACAAAATCTCTTCTTGGATTCAAAAGTCAAAAACCACTGCTGACACAGAGTTTAGTAAGTCTTAATTATTCTGTAGTCACCTCAGTATCCAGTATCCTATAGTTCTTTCCCCACAGTATCTTATTCTCCCAGCTCTTACATGTTCAGCAGTGAAGGACACACATTCTGTTCTGTTTCTGGATAGAGATCTACAAAGACTTCGCAGAAATCCCACACATACAATGGCAGTGCATGCCTACTGGAAAGCATAAAGAGGGAGGATGGAGTGTGCACTTCCGGGGAAACACAGGCCACTGTCAGAGACAATTTCAGCAGTGGCCACGTGACAATCAGAGTCGTCAGACTTCCCAGTGGACTGCCATATGGCTAGGAGCAAGGAGTGCTGCCCAGCACCTGGACTGTGAGACACCTCTTACTGTGACCGACACTCACTGGTTCTAATGACATTTGGCCCTAGCTCTTGGACGTTGCACTGCTGTAGTGATGTGGCAGGAAGGGGAACAAGGTGTAGGGGCAGGATAGGAGAGTTACTGAGACGGGAGTAATGACCCTCCAGATGCTGGGTTTCCGACGGCACTGTCGGTCCTACAGTACTTAAGTGGTGGGTTAATGGGAACCTATCCTTGGGAACAACCTGGATAGTGGAAGCCAGATCCCAGGATGGGAGAATACACTCCAAAGAAGCCACCTGTAGGTATCTAGCATGTGACAGCAATCACACCCTACTATAGTGTTCCCCTGGTAACTTGCACTGAAACAATCTGTACTTCCTCCTGGGGCAATCTCTATAGCAAATTCTTATGGCCTGTCATCAGGGGATGTCCAAGCAGGTAATGTGACAGGAGCGTTATCAGCAATTCTCAGTCCTGCCAGACGAAGACAGGACAGACAGAAGAAACTGCAGTGATGAGTAGGGAAGATGCATCCTCTTTACCCTTGGTTTTTGTTTATTTTGACTTAGTTATCTATCCTAATTTATGGTGTATGATGTAAAGCTCTTGATTCTGGAGGACACAGATTTAGCCTAAGTCCTGCATTCTTGAAATGACAATGTTAAGGGCAAATTCTAGGGCTGAAGCATTTACACAAAGGAAGGCAATCAGCACATAAGGATCCCCTAGGGCTTACAGGGCCAAATAATAATATTGCATTTCATCATGCTAGCATGATTACCCTTAAGTATTGCTGTGTGTGTGAATGTGTGTGTGTGTGTGTGTCACAGAATGCACTTCCAATGACTCCTGAATAGAACACACATGAACACCATCACTCTGAGGCTGAGATGCAGAAACGGGAAAAAAGACATATCTGTCATGTCTTCCAAACTGGACAGAGGACATCTGCAGCTACTGCCACCCTCTCATGCCAGCACAATGGGAAAAACAGATGTAAAAATAGAAATGGTATATTCAACGACTAACAGAGGCAAAACTTAATATAGCAGCATGCAGCAGCGCTGACGTAGATGCTCTCAAGTGGACAGTGTGCCAGCCCATACCCACTTTCCTGCATCTGTGTCATGCTAATGTCTGTGAGTGGGGAAGGGGACAAGCGAGAACCCTGTGAGCTAACAGCAGCCAGTGGTGTTCTGCAAAAGGAAGCAAAGGGGTTGTTGGCTCAGGGGAAAATCTCACCCCAGGAATCCGTCACCCCACAGGGGACTTATTTCATCTTAAACAGGCTGAACGGCTGTGTGTGGTTCAGGCAAGATATTGGTGTCTGGGATTAAAAGCGTGTGCTAAAACTGCCTGGCTAGCTCTTCTGAATTCTAACACTAAACAATCTTTATTTCCCTACTTAGGTAATCATGAACTGTTTTCCCAACTTGTCACTTTCTCATTTCACATGGTAGTTATGATTTGTCTATATTATGCACTTTCCTGAACACAGCACCTTCCTGCAAAAGCACCTGTGTGGGGAACATTTACTAGAAGGTAAATGAGAATGACAACACTCTGCTTCACGTAATCTTTGCAAAGATTAAATGAGCTGTATGTAGGAGACACTGAAGCCTGCAATGATGTTAGCTGTTATTGTCTGTTGGCTAGAAGGATGCTCTCTGTACTTGCACACCATTGTTTATTGCTGCAGTGTTCATGATAGCCAGGAAACAGAACAGACAAATAGGCGAGGAAAATGCGAGGCATACACAATGGAGCATTACACAGCCACAAAGCAGGACGAAGCCATGGCAACTGCAGGAAAATGGGTAGAATTGGAGATCAGGACGTTGAGCAAAATAAACCAGACTCAAGACAAGAGCCATGTTTTTTCTTATATGCAGAACCTAGTTTTAAATTGTGTGTGTGTGAGTGTGTGTGTGTGTGTGTGTAACTAGAAAGAGGATAATGACAAGGAAGGAGGAAGAGATGTTCAAGGAGGTGGGAAGGAGACTCATAGAACACGTGCAATAAGAAAGCAACTGGGGGGAGAACTGAGTGAAGGAAGAGTCCAGCAGAAGGGCAGAGTGTGTGTGGAAGGAGAGTTCACAAGCAAAAGTACAGTGCGACCACACAACACATGTGTGAGATGCTGTAATGAACCCTATTTGTGCAGTAACCCAAAGGTTAAACAAAAGGAAACAAAGAATGTCCAAGTTAGCTTTGTTAACCAGTTCACCTTGTGAACCAGTGAGCCTTGTTCCTGCCACCAAGGGGCCCGAAAGACATGGCCGCGTTCACTGCTGCAGTTTTAGCTCCAGCCTTCTATAAGCTCCTAGCATCCATAAAATATTGCTGTATTTCCTGTTTGAATTCATTCAGCAATATATTCAAATTGAATGAATGTATATAGAACATACAGCAATACAGTCTGAATATATTGCTGAATGAATTCATACAGGAAACTGAGGCTTAGAGAGTGTTGGTGACATAAGGTATCCCAGCGACTTAGAGGGGACAAAGAGATAGTCCTCCTGCCTGGCTGTCTTCTGTCACACCACTCCTGGGTCATACTTCATCATTTCAATCTTCAGACAGGGCATCTTTGTTATTAGGTGATCTTCAAGTGCTAAAAATACTTTAGAGTAAAAAGGATTCTTTGTTTGAAGCCTACCGTGGTATCCACAGCCTTGACTGCTTCTGTGGGGATGTGCTTTGGGACAGGCTCCGTCTGTGACAGTGTTACACATCCTGAAGCCCCTAAGGTGATGACCACGGCCTGGCAGCCCCGTTCCAGGAGAACCAATGCAGCCTTCCCAGCCTCGGTCGGGTTATTCACTGTGAGGCCCGTTAAAATCTCAGTCTGTAATACACAAGAAAAAACCGTGGTGAGGGTAAAGCAATTGAATCTGCTGCAGATTCATCCCTTTAGAAAATGTGTCCCCTGTTTTTCCACAATGGTCAAAGCAACAGGAACCTTGGAGGACACTGGCGCCGAAACATAAATAAAAGAAACTAAAGTAAACCAGTCGGAAGTGGTGTGCACCTTTTATCCCAGGGTGTAGAGGCAGGCGAATCTCTGTGATTTTGAGAGCAGCCTGGCTTACAGAGTAGGTTCCAGGACAGTCAGAGCTACACAGTGAGATCCTGTCTCCCCGCCCAGCAAAAAGGAACAAAAATAATGACAACAAAAATTCTTGGAATAGCATGGTGTGGTTTCAGGCTTACTATCTCAGTATTTAGGAGGCAAAAATGTGAGGAGAAGGAGGCATAACGAGTTCAAGCCAGCCTGCATTACAAAGTAACAAATGACAACAAACAATATCCACACAAAAACAAAACCCCACACAAAACAAAGCATTCTTGGTTAGAGAGGTAGCTCAGGGGATAAGAGCATTTGCTGAGCTGGCAGAGGACTGAGGTTTATTTCCCAGTCCCCTCAAGGAGGCTTGCAATCACCTGTAACTGCAGTTCCAGAGGATCCAACCCCATCATCTGCCCTCCACAGCAGGTAGAATGCTCAAATGCATAAAATAAGTCTAAAAATATTTTTTAAATTCTTGGGACAACTGGGGAAAGCAGACACATTTTGTATATTAGATGACAATACAGAATGATCTTCCATGTGACGAAAGCATTAGGGCCCTCAGGAAATGCACACAGATATTCAGGGGGGTGTGTGGTGCATTACTTAACCTTACTTTTAACAAAACAAAAATACTTGTGTTTTTACTTTTGCTTTACACACTGGGGGTGGGAGAGTCCATATAGCAGTGGACAGCTCACAAGATGAGGGGAGACTCTGGATACAGGACTGGGAAGAACAAATGCATCTTTGAAAGAAAGCAGGGAATGTGGGGGAGTGGGGAGTGGTCGCTGCTGGCCACTCCATGGATGCTGCGCCTGTAACATGGGCACCTACATGACCTTCCTTAAATCAGTAAATGCAATAATACAAAAAATACAATAATTAAATACAATACAATAAATGAGGACAATCAGTATTTCTCCTGGAATAGAAAACATCTTGGGATGAAATAGGGTGCCCCTCTGGCATCTCTGGGGTGCTTCTCTGCTTGTGACACAGGTAGTTAAAAAACCACTGAGGAATTATGTGGTGCTTTCTAACTCAATGTATATAACTAAATTCTCTTTTCCATATTACAGCTTAACCACACACTAGATAAGAGTGCATATGCCCTGCTTGTAGTTTCTGTGAATATGCTCAAATTAAACCCATCTGTTATATGAAAAGGCAAAGTATGCAACTAGGCTGCTGAGACAGTTCAGTGGGAAAAGGCACTTACCATTAAGCCAAAGGACCCGAGTTCAAGTCCCATACACATGTCATGGCATATGAACATGTATGCTCATGCACAATCCAATGTATAAAACCTTTTAAAGGATATAACCAGATTATGTCTTTTCTGTGTTACAGTTTAATCAGATGTTATATCTTCCTAAGAACAGGATTACATCCTACTTTTATTGCTCTGAGCATGCCTAAATGAATCCTGTTGTTGTATAAAAACCATTCCTCAAGTGTCTGCTTATTCTGAGCATCTGTGATCCCAGTAGCAAAGGTTTCTTGAACTTGGCCATGCAACTTCTCTTCCTGTCTTCTGTGGTCTCTTTCAGTTTGGATTGGTTGTACTCTGAGACTGTCTTCAAATTTTAAGTGTTTTCTTAATTTTTATGTGTATGTGTCTGAGTGTGTATGTGCAGGAGCTTGAGGAGGCCAGATCACTGAATCTTGAGTTACAGATAGTTGTAAGCTAACATGTGGGTGCTAGGAGCAGAACCTGAGACCATTATCTTTTTTTTTTTAAATGACTTATTTTTATTTTATGTGCATTGGTGTTCTGCATCCATGTGTGTCTGTGTGAGGGTGTTGGATCTCCTGGAGACTGAGTTATAGGCAGTTGTGAGATGTCATGTGGGTGCTGGGAATTGAACCCAGATCCTCTGGAAGAACAGCTAGTGCTCTTAACCATTAGGCCATCTCTCCAGCCCCGAGGCCATTATCTTAAAGAATAAGTTTTGTGTTAATCTGTTTTCCTGGGAAATAGTACTGTCTGCTAATTTCACTGATCTATTTTCAGAGATACTCACTGATATCTTTTAAAAATCTTAGAAATCATTGCTGGAGAGATTGCTCAGTGGTTAAGAGCACTGGCTGCTTCCAGAGGTCATGAGTTCAATTCCCAACAACCACATGGTGGCTCACAGCCATCTACAGTGGGATCTGATCCCCTCTTCTGACATAAAGTACATCAGAACACTCATATACATAAAAGAAATACATAAATCTTTAAAAAATGTGTTTTAAAAAAAACTTTGAAATCTCTGTTAACAACCCCTCCTCACGTGTATGTGCATGTGTTCATGTGTGTATGTATGAAGAAGTCCAGGCTACAAAGGCAAGACATGTATAAGTTCTGACCAACAGTCCCATTATGTTTCAGGAAACACTAGTACCAACTCTTACACATATGAATGAAGAATCCCTCAGCCATTGAAAATTTCAACTCTTGCCACAGGCACAAAGCAAGTATAAGCCATGCTATGCCCTATCTGAATTCCCCACCCATGGAAACTGGGAATGACAATAATTACTATTGTTTTGGAGAATTTATTATATATCAATAAGTAAGTATGAAGACAGGGACAGGATACAATAAAACAGATGATGTGTCTTAATGGACTTTGTAATTTGATGGAGAAGATATATCAGCTGAATAAACAATTTGAACTGTGAAAATAGTCTGAAGAATAAATAGTGTTTATTCAGTGTCTACCTAGGGAATCTAAGCCAGTTTGGTGGTTTAGAGCAATGTAACCTCTTATTGTGAAATGCTCACTATCTCCCACAATTCCCTTTTCCTAGCCCAATGCCTAGCCATGCTGGTTGCTCAAAAATGTTGCACAACCTACTGTGGTTTGTTAGAATTAGTTTCCATGTAGCAGCCTTTCTTGTCCTATGAGCCCTGATAGATGGCATTTTCAAGAGAACAGGTTAAGAAAGCCTAGACCGTCATTTAGCCTCAGAACCAAGGGAAAGGTAACCACTATCATCAATCCCTTCCTCCCTGTGTGTGTTGCACTGCCAAAATGCATAAGAGTTTCTGCAACTCAATGATAAGAGAGTTCTAGTCTAAGGCTGTCTTTCCATAAAGATGGTGATTGATTGAGATCTCGTTCCTAGCGGTTTTTATAAAAGAGTAGATTACATCACTGCACTGACAGGTATGTTGTGCAGGTGTGTACATTCTGACCCTTCGATAAGACACTGCTTCCTTAGACAGCAGCCTCCACGGGAACCCGTGTCTCTCCACCGTGCTGTAGCATGGTCTGTGCACTATAAGGCAGCAGCCACTCCAGGAGTTATGTGTTAATTACAGTTGTCCGGTAAAACACAAACTCAGAGAAATTTGACTTTCAGAAAAACAACAAATAGTTTTGTATGTTTGTTCACCAATTATTTGAGATCTAAATGTAACTGGGCATCTTGTATTTTTGTTTGTTCAGCTTGGCAACTTTAGAATTAATGAGTACAGGAAAATGTGAAATAATTAAAATGAAGACAATCAATCAATAGTGCTGGACGAGCAGATTAAGGGCTATGGCTCAGAATTCTTTCCAGCCACTTGGGGCTTGGTTATTTCCTGACCTCCACACCCCAAAAACTGAAAAAAAAAAAAAAACCAAACCAAAACAAAACAAACAAACAAACAAAAAAAAAACCACCCTCTTTTTACTAAATTCGCATGTGCTCAAATTGATGCAGTTAGTGCTGCCTCTTTGTTTTGGTCAATTGCCTGAAAGTTCTCTATAGAAGAACCAAACTGATTATCTTTACCTCACTTTCATTGCAACAGAACACATTGGAGAGGGTATAGAACCGGGGGTCCAGGTCAGCAGTGGCAGGAGCTGGATTGAACAATGTTTTCACTGCAAAGGAACGGGAAAGGGAGCCAATAGTTATCACTTAAACATATAAATTTAATCTTTTTACACATCTTTAAGGTTAGATGTAAAGTAATGGGTTTTAATATAGCGTTTTCATGCCATTTACATACAGACATTAAGTGAGAGAAATCTGCCATCATTTTGCACTCACCATATTAAGCATCTATTAAACCACAGATGTAGAAAGGGTGGATCTCAGACTCTATGACAGCCTAGCATCGGTTCTTCTATTTCCTAGCTCCCCTGGTTTTCACTTTACCATTTCAGCTTCAGGGCAAGCATCATATTTACAACTAACATGATTGTATAGTTCAAGAGAGGACAACAAGAGCACCAAAGTAAAAGTCTGCCATGAAAGGACATGCATGAATGCACATAGAAGGTGGCCATTTCTGTAGGTTAATCTAAGTGCTTATCTGTGGGGCTGGTCCATAAATTCACTTTTTTTTTAAGGGAAGAAAAAAGTGATGATAGGAAAGGAACAGCAAAGAATTTGAAAGAATTTGTAATTTTCCCAGTACTGCATCATGTAGAAAACTGAGGTATATGTATGTATCCATGCATGCCTCCACAATATATTAAAATCACTCATGTCAACACACACGTGTGCATGCATGCCCGTGCATGAACACACGCACGCGCACGCACACACACACACACACACACACACACACACTTTCCATTCTTGGCTTCCAGGAGCTATCTGGGAACACAAGAAGATTGAGAAAGGGGGGAAATTTCATTCACTGACTGCTAGCTCAGACAAGACAACTGCAAGAGAAGGATGGATGGGGATAGCAGAGCAGGGGAAGGCAGGATGTCACAGCCATTATTCTCATGACAGAAGTGCTTTTCAGAAGAGAAAAGTGAAGCTTAGAGAGGAGGCCACATGCTGCATGTCCCATACACCCTCTTGGACATGGTTAGGCTTTTGGTTTTAGGGTTTGGTTCTCTTTAAAACAGCAACATATCTAGATCACAGCTCTATCCATCACAACACATTCCTCCAATGCATAGTATCTTACAACAGTTTTTGGTGTGGAATTCTGCAAATTCTCTTAAAGGCTTATTTTCTATTTGCTTAAATTCTATTTGCAAAAGCTCCCACTTTGTGACAGAGAAAGTAGATTGGCTGTTCTTCTTTTATCAAACCGGATCCATCAATTCATGTGATAAATAATGCCACCTGTCTAGTCCTCAGTAAAACCCTTTAGCCGCAGTTCCTAGAGAGACTGTTATGAATTTGTTCACACAACAGCAGAGCCTGCTCAGATGCAGGGTTTCTAGGCTTCACTTCCAGTCAACTGAATCAGAATCTCTGAGGGCATGATCAGGGAATCCACACATTCACAAGATCTCTAGGTGACTCCATATAGCTAGCTTGGGAGTGACACATTCCACTTTCCTGGGGAGATGCTAATCAGCTCATGGCTGGTGGAGATGGTCCACTGTTGCAACCTTGTAAGAGTGTCCAGTCTGCTTCTGTATTTCCTGTGTCTTATTTAACAGTTGGGTCCATCAGTGGTCTTGGCCAGCATAGGGTAACAGTATCGCCACATTGTTGATATTTTAGACTTTACAATGTCCTCCCACATAAATTCTGCCCCCCCTTTTTTTCCTGCTCAGATTTTTGTACAAGGCAATTAATTGTGTGGCTTAAATTAGAAAAATGCATGTAAAAGCCCCATGTAAACTATAAAGTGTTGTCCAAGTTTAAAGGATTATTATTGTTATTATACTGTCCTTTGCATACTGTGGACACCCCCGCCTGTCCACCCCTCTTCCTTCTGCTCAAGAGTGGAGCCCGCCACCACCCTCCCAGTGGTTTCTTATGTCTTTTAGGATTTAGAAATGCCCATCATACAAGAAGATCATCTATGCCCAGCATTCAAATATATTCAGGTTTTAGGTTTCCAAAAAACATTGGGGTAGTTTGAATAAGAATGGCCCCCATAGGTTATTATGTTTGAATATTTGCCCCCATTGATGGGACTATTTGGGAAGGATTAGGAGGTGTGTCACTGTTGGAGGAGGTGTGTCACTGAGGGTGAGCATTGATGTTTCAAAGCATTGCCATTCCCAGTTAACTCTCTCTGCCTAGTGCCTGTGTCTAAGATGTGAGCTCTGAGCTATTGCTTCAGAACCATGCCGGCCTGTCTGCTGCTATGCTTTCTGCCATGATGGCAACAGACTAACACCCTGAAACTGTAAGCCCCAAATAAACTTTCTTTTATAAATTGCTGTCTATTGTTGTGAAGAGACACCTGACCATGGCAGTTCTTATAAAGTAAAGCCTTTAATTGGGGTTTCTTACTCTTTCAGAGGGTTAGTCCATTGTTATCATGGTGGTGAGTATGGTACCATGCAGGCAGACATGGTGCTGGAGAAGTAGTTCTTCATCCAGATCTACAGACAACAGGAAGAGAGAGTCACTGGTCCTGGCTTGGGCTTTAGAAACCTCAAAGCCCTCCCTCAGTGATATACTCCAACAAGGCCGTGTCTCCTAATCCTTTCAAATAGCATCACTTCCTGATAACTAAGTCTTAAAATCTATGAATATATGGGGCCATTCTATTTTAAACCATCATAGTTGCTTCAGTCATGGTATCTTATCACAGCAATAGAAAAGCAATTAATACAAGAATTTTGTTCTCGATTTTCCTCAAGCATTAAATTGAATGCCATTGCTCAGCTCTGGTGATCCCCAAGTCTGCATCTCTAAGCATTTGAGCACAGGTGCTGCATCAAGCCACTAGTGACAAAGATGCAGAATGAAGCCTCCAAAGATCCAGGACCTAGCAATGCCTTGTGCATGCTCCTCTCACAGAAGGCGATGGGCACATGTGAAGTATGCTGATGCTCACGCTTATGGGAGAAAAACAAAGGGAATTCTACATATCTATCTGAGGAGTTGGCTTTAAAAAACTGGACTGGCTGGTCTAAGTAGATTCACTGGTCCTCTTTTTCCTTGGCCTACCTGACAAATACTCTAAAGCTGCTCAAATGAATTAAGTCATCTGCGCTTTGTCAGAGGAATATTTCTATACTTTATAACCAAAACGAAGGCAGTCTTGTGTCATTTCTTCCTTCTAAAATAAAGCAAAGCATAACTATATGTGTGTATGTTTGTACAGAAGAGAAAAGGTCTGAGCAGTTATTCACTAAACTCATAAATGAATAGTTGTAAATACCTGTGGGAATAAGTCTGGCTGTAGATTCAGTGTTGTACTTTAAGGAAAGACCTCATTCTTTGAACATGGATCATATCTTTCAATGAAGAAATGACTTTTGTTTTTGTAGTGAGGGACAGTGGAAAATAAGTTGGCATACAAATGATATGCCATGCTTTCCAGTTTGGGCCCCGGCAGGATGGCTCCCGCGAAGAAGGGTGGCGAGAAGAAGGGCTGTTCTGCCATCGTGGTGGTGACCCGGGAGTACACCATCAACATCCACAAGCGCATCCATGGCATGGGCTTCAAGAAGCGTGCTCCTCGGGCACTCAAAGAAATCCAGAAATTTGCCATGAAGGAGGTAGGGACCCCAGACATTTGTATTGATACCAGGCTCAATAAAGCCGTCTGGGCCAAAGGAATAAGGAATGTTCTGTACCGTATCCGTGTACGTTTGTCCAGAAAACGTAACAAGGATGAGGACTCCCCAAACAAGCTGTATACATTGCTAACCTACGTGCCTGTTACCACATTCAAAAATCTACAGACTGTCAACGTGGATGAGAACTAACCTGCTGAATGTCAAATAAAGTTGGAGAGCTGACTGCACTCAGGGTTTGGTTTCCCTTTTTGTCTGCCCCACTCACTCACTGGTGGAGGTGTTTGATACTGTTTATGATAGGACGTAAGTAAGGGTTATTGTTGGGAGTTGTTTAAGAACCGCTGCTGATTTCTGTGCTGCCCTGGCTGTCCAGGAACTCCCAGATCCATGCACCTTTACCTCCCAAGGGTGGGAATTAAAGGCATGCACTGAAAAAAACAAACAAACAAACAAACAAAAAAAAAACCCAAAACCAAAACCAAAACAAAACAAAAAAACAAAAAAACAAATGATATGCCATCAACAAGGTCTCAACAATCATAGAAGCTAAAAGATGGCATAATGTGGGTTTACCAAGCTATTCTCTGTCTTACTGTATTTGAAATTTTCTACAAGGAGAACAAATGTTGAAGAAAATTATATTGTATTTTAAGCATCAATGGCTGGAATGAGGAGCTCTATAAATTAATTACCATGAATATAGCATAAAATCAAGCAAATCTTATTTGCCTGTATTTCCCTAGGGGACAGAATTCTTTCCAACTGTCACAGATTATGTAAGCGCGGTTTCTGATGTGTGGTTTGAGTACCTAAGCTTAGGGTAGAAGTGAAAATGCTACAAGGGAATCACTCTTGGCTTCTTCTTCTATAAATAAACAGAAACCCTGAACTAGGATGAAGAAGCATGAGAAAATAGTAGACACAGGTAGTTAAAGAGAGGCACAAATTTGTAACACCCAAGATGGAAAAGATGATATCATCCTGGGACCAGGCAAAACCATACAACAACATGGAGCTGCAGAGAGAGTGACAGACAGAACGGTAATTGTCACTCATTACAGAGGGAGATACAGTGAAGTCCTGGTTATCTGAACCACACAGCAACGGCTGATACAGCAATGTTGGCGAGGAGGTAGTGGATCCCAGGATGCAGCTTGTAGCCTGGGAAATGGGGCAGAAGGTCTTAATGCTGCCGTGGAAGACAGAAGGGCCAGCTAAGAATGCCCTGTGAACTAGCTCAGAGGAGCAAGGGACTAAAGTCACCCCTAGGCAAAGGAAGTGTGAGAAGAATGGGATACCCCAACACTGGCTTTGCTGTCTCTACACTGGAGGCTCTTTTGTGGGGGGGACTTTTTGGCCCACATGTGGGGCAATGTTATTGCAAAAGCCTCCACATTCAGCCAAGAGGTTCAGTTTGCCAAATGGAAAAG